TGCTAGAGCATTAGCATGCTAATGTTAGCCTTTAGCTTTACCAACTCACTTAGCTAAACCACCTCACAAAGAGACCAGTCATTGCTAGAGCATTAGCATGCTAATGTTAGCCTTTAGCTTGACAAACTCCCTTAGCTAAACAATCTCACAGAAACCAGCCATTGCTAGGTCATTAGCATGCTAATGTCAGCCTTTAGCTTTACCAACTCACTTAGCTAAACAATCCCACAAAGAGACCAGTCACTGCTAGGTCATTAGCATGCTAAGTGCTAAATATGCTATACAGCTTTACAAAGAACTAATGAGCTCATAAACAAACAAATTTTTGTTTGATTCACACAGTTTTTTAACATTTAGTCATAAAAACATGTTTGCATTGTAAACAAAATAAATTAGCATGTAGGCTAACAACACAATACACAATGTTTACGTCATTTTTTTCACATAAATAACCAACAGAGATGAAAAATGTAAAACTTGGCTTCTTAAAAAACAGTAAAATGCCTGATTATTTTCCAACATTTATATAAATTTCCACCACAAGCCACCAACAGTAAAACAGGAGCGGGGCAGCCAATAAAAAGTGAGTGTTGTGAAACATGTTGAAAAATATATAATACAGAATATGACTGTGATTTAAGGYGGAAGAAGACAGATCAAAAATGCAAAAAGACTCAAATCAAAGTGAAAGCACCAAGTCAAACCAAAACCCACGATGCACACGAGAGCCAGAGTGTGACGTGAGGGGGGGAGGCGGTAAATGACCAGTCACCAAGCACAGGCAGGCAGGCAGGCCACCACAGACAACCAAAGAAAACCAGACTAAAGTGGGAGGAGGAGGGAGGAGGAGAAGGGATGAGGAGGAGGAGGGGGAGGAGGCCTGGTGGACACTGACGCCGGCTCGTCCTTACTTCTGTTGGGGGAGTTCCACAGCGTGGCAGAGGACTTGGACAGCCTGTTGTTAAGGACAGGGTCCACCTGTCTCGGCAAGTTGACCGTGGAGGCCGAGCATCTGCCTGCACCGGAGAGAACGCAACACACAACTGTTCACATGGGGGCCGGGGGGCCGGCTGGACCCCCCCCACACAGCTGTCAGTCAACAGGCACGCACCGCTCCCTGAGCTCAGCTTCTCACTCAGACWTTGGGGAGGAGGGGGGACGGGGGGAGGACTGTGAGGAGAGGCTGGAAGGGTGAGTTATTAGAAAGACATTCAGAAGAAAACCTTCAGCTGACATGAACACACACGCCTCACACACACACCTCACACACACGCCTCACACACACACATCACACACACGCCTCACAAACACACATCACACACACACATCACAATGCCCCACTGGTCTGATGGACCCTGGCTGTGACTCTGACTAACTGTGAGGGTCATTAGCCCCGCCCTCGTCACAGACTATTTCCTGGCATTGCATCAGCTGAGGSAGTGAGTCAGGCTGTGCAACACAAAGACTCAGGTTACAGACAGGAAGTCTCTGGGTGGACATCCTGTCTCTGAGCTCATCTAAAACTCACTTTCTCTGCGGGAGGTCTGGTTCAGTCCGCCGGCCCAGGACCACCTCTGCTGGCGGATCTCGGTCCATGTCTTCTTGGTGGACCTCTTGATTGCGGCTTCGTATCGCTCCTGCAGGAAGGAAGGGTCAAAAGTGTCAGAGTTTCAAATTTTGGTTTCCAGATTCCTTCTGGATAAAAAACAAACTCACCTTGTTCTTCTCTAGTTTCTGTCTCTGCTTCTCCTCCAGCAGGGCTCGACGCTTCTCCGCCTTCAGCCTCTGCTCCTCCAGCTTCCTCCTGCGCTCCTCCAGCTGGTTCTCCCTCAGCCGACGGGCCTTCTCCTCCTTCTCCAGCCACTGGGCCTTCTTTGCCGCTGCAGCGTGTTAGAAAACCAGTCTCAGAACCTTTCTGTTTCACCTCTTTAACAACATTATTTACATTTATTTACCAGCAATCATCCGTCAACCTAAAGCCAGAAGATACAGGAACATCTGAATGTAAGAACGTGATTTTAAATTATTTCCAGCTGCTCTACGTCTCATTCCATAAGTCAGAGGAAAAAAACTCAGAACCTAAAACTGTAAAACAGCAGCAGCCAATCAGAGGGAGGGAACAGATGTCAGACACTGTTGGTTCAAGTCTGAAACAGCAACTTCCTGTTGATTTCACTGCAGCTTCCTGTTGGTTTCACTGCAACTTCCTGTTGGTTTCACTGCAGCTTCCTGTTGGTTTCACTGCAACTTCCTGTTGGTTTTACTGCAACTTCCTGTTGGTTTCACTGCAACTTCCTGCTGGTTTCACTGCAGCTTCCTGTTGGTTAAACTGCAACTTCCTGCTGGTTTCACTGCAACTTCCTGCTGGTTTCACTGCAACTTCCTGTTGGTTTCACTGCAGCTTCCTGTTGGTTTCACTGCAGCTTCCTGTTGGTTTCACTGCAGCTTCCTGTTAGTTTCAATGCAACTTCCTGTTGGTTTCAATGCAGCTTCCTGTTGGTTTCACTGCAGCTTCCTGTTGTTTTCAATGCAACTTCCTGTTGGTTTCACTGCAGCTTCCTGTTGGTTTCACTGCAGCTTCCTGTTGGTTTAACTGCAACTTCCTGTTGGTTAAACTGCAGCCTTCAGAGGGAAACTGGGTATTTTTACTGTCTTCTGATGTCTGCTGATCCTTTTTCTACAAATGTGCTTTGTTTCTGCTAACTTGTAGCCAGGGGCTCATTTTTCAAAGGTCAGATTTATAAATCCAGGATATGAGCTGTAAGCTGAGCTTGAACAAACCATCAACTGGTAAACAGCTGGAATCTGTTGCTCAAACATCAGGCCATGGTTGACTGAGGAGTTTCCTTCCAGCTAACAGTTTAATGCACATTCACAGTTTGTTCACCAGAACTCTAGATGGATCAGATTACCTGATCAGGTGTGTGCAGTTCGACAGGTGAGTCTCACTTCTACCCAATCGTGTAATGAAATATTTTAAATGGTTTATTATGAATCATATGAAGACATGAAGTTAAATTATAGCAGACGATTGAACGCTGAAATATTTTTAAAAGTATCAACTTATTATTTCACTGAAACTGTTTCCAAGTTATCTGAAAATTAACTAAATTAACTAAATTAACTAAATGAACAGCTGATTGATTTGTCTTAAAATGATCACTGCAAGTTCAGGAAATGACTGGAGGACAGCAGCTGGGGGGGGGGGTCTGCATCATAGCAGGTACAAAGAAGGGAGGGGGGCACCTTCGCTTAATTAATTCAGGTTTACACCAAAATCCTGACTTAATCCCTTTTTCTAGATCAGTGCAATAAGCTCCTGGTCTGACTTCAGTTCTGGTTGGCTGATCATGCTCTGAGCTGAGCTCTGATTGGCCGCTCTCGCTCAGGTGTCCTGCTTCCTGTCTGCAGACAGGAAGTTAAATGGTGGCTGTATGCAGGGAGCATGCAGGTAAAACACGACGCTAGAATAAACTGAAGGTGAGCTGAAACTGAAGCAGGAACAGGATGAATGATGGAGGAGGACCTGCAGCCACTGCAGGTGTTAGTGAAGCACCTTACCTGCCACTGCAGCTGTTAGTCAAGCCTTACCTTGGAGCTGAGTTTGTTGTTCTGAGAGCCGTGCAAAAATACACAACAAGAGACACGAGTGAGTGAGGAGGAGGAGAGGCTGAGCAGCTGAGGGGGGGCGGGGTTTAACTCACCGATGTAACGAGCTCGCTCCTCTCTCCGCTCTCGGGCCAGTTTCTGTCTCTGCTCAGAACTCATGGAGTCTGAGAACAAAGAGAAAAATAAATCATTAATAAAACACTCGTCTCCTGCAGAGAGAAACCAGCCTTTACACGGAAACTTTCACATAAACCTGAGATTTCTGACAGAATCTGTGACACCTGAAGGCATCACAGGTGAGCTCAGCTTCTCTGTCTGTGAGAAACTAAACATTGATTAAAGCTGTAAACAGGWGGGTTTGGATGAAAATATCTCCATTTGAATCATTTTAAATGAACTTCCTGATCTGGTCTGATCTCAGCAGTCAAACAACCTGCTGCTGATAAAAATAACAACACTCTGCATCATGGAGCGAGCACACAGTAACCACGGCAACACCACCCACATCAGGTCCAACACAGATCCTCTCCCTCAGCTCTTTTTACAGGCAGTTGGTTCTGATCCAACTTCTGACATTAAAAACACTCAAATCATCAATCATTTAAATCAGATCTAAACTGAGCTTTTCATCTTCAGAACTCTGCAGAACTGAAGACCCGGGTCACTCGGTACCTTTCTTGGGCTGGGGGCTGCAGCTGGAGCCGGGGGTGGAGGGTCGGCCTTCGGTCCTCGAGGACACTTCTGTCTTGGAGGGCGTGTCTGTTTTAGGAGACAGGTCTGAGACGGCCGAGTCATCTGGACTCAGAAGGTCCTTCTCTGGATTCTTCTCATGGTTCTGGATAGACTGAGAGTCCAGCTGCAGGGGCAGACCTGCAGGACAGAGATGTGACAGGTCAGAATCTGGACCTGATATGAGGCGGTTTAAAGTCCTGATCAGTTTCCTGTCCAAGGATCCAGGTGTTCCTGTAGAGACAGGAGAGAAGGTCTCACCTGGTGCAGGTTCAGACTGCTGAGTCAGCATTCAGACTGTAGCTGAGTCAGCGTTCAGACTGTAGCTGAGTCAACGTTCAGACTGCTGAGTCAGCATTCAGACTGTAGCTGAGTCAACGTTCAGACTGTAGCTGAGTCAGCATTCAGACTGTAGCTGAGTCAGCATTCAGACTTAGCTCTTAGCTGAGTCAGCATTCAGACTGTTGAGTCAGCATTCAGACTGTAGCTGAGTCAGCATTCAGACTGTTGAGTCAGCATTCAGACTGTAGCTGAGTCAGCATTCAGACTGTAGCTGAGTCAACGTTCAGACTGCTGAGTCAGCGTTCAGACTGTAGCTGAGTCATTCAGACTGTTGAGTCAGCATTCAGACTGTAGCTGAGTCAGCATTCAGACTGTAGCTGAGTCAACGTTCAGACTGCTGAGTCAGCATTCAGACTGTAGCTGAGTAAGCGTTCAGACTGCTGAGTCAGCATTCAGACTGTAGCTGAGTCAGCATTCAGACTGTAGCTGAGTCAGCATTCAGACTGTAGCTGAGTCAATGTTCAGACTGCTGAGTCAGCGTTCAGACTGTAGCTGAGTCACTCAGATTGTTGAGTCAGCATTCAGAGTGTAGCTGAGTCAGCATTCAGACTGTAGCTGAGTCAGCATTCAGACTGTAGCTGAGTCAGCGTTCAGACTGTAGCTGAATCATTCAGACTGTAGCTGAATCATTCAGACTGTAGCTGAGTCATTCAGACTGTTGAGTCAGTGTTCAGAGTGTAGCTGAGTCAGCATTCAGACTGTAGCTGAGTCAGCATTCAGACTGTAGCTGAGTCAGCATTCAGACTGTAGCTGAGTCAGCATTCAGACTGGAGCTGAATCATTCAGACATTAGCTGAGTCATTCAAACTGTAGCTGAGTCAACGTTCAGACTGTAGCTGAGTCAGCATTCAGCCTGTAGCTGAGTCATTCAGAGTATAGCTGAGTCATTCAGACTGGAGCTGAGTCAGCATTCAGACTGTAGCTGAGTCAGCATTCAGACTGTATCTGAGTCAGCATTCAGACTGTAGCTGAGTCAGCATTCAGACTGTAGCTGAGTCAGCATTCAGACTGTAGCTGAGTCAGCATTCAGACTGTAGCTGAGTCACTCGGATTGTTGAGTCAGCGTTCAGAGTGTAGCTGAGTCAGCATTCAGACTGTAGCCGAGTCATTCAGACTGTTGAGTCAGTGTTCAGACTGTAGCTGATTCAGCATTCAGACTGTTGAGTCAGCATTCAGACCGTAGCTGAGTCAGCATTCAGACTGTAGCTGAGTCAGCATTCAGACTGTAGCTGAGTCAGCATTCAGACTGTAGCTGAGTCAACATTCAGACTGTAGCTGAGTCAGCATTCAGACTGTTGAGTCAGCATTTTGACCGTAGCTGAGTCAGCATTCAGACTGTTGAGTCAGCATTCAGACCGTAGCTGAGTCAGCATTCAGACTGTAGCTGAGTCAGCGTTCAGACTGTAGCTGAGTCAGTATTCAGACTGTAGCTGAGTCAGTATTCAGACTGTAGCTGAGTCAACATTCAGACTGTAGCTGAGTCAGTATTCAGACTGTAGCTGAGTCAACATTCAGACTGTAGCTGAGTCAACATTCAGACTGTAGCTGAGTCAGTATTCAGACTGTAGCTGAGTCAACATTCAGACTGTAGCTGAGTCAACATTCAGACTGTAGCTGAGTCAGTATTCAGACTGTAGCTGAGTCAACATTCAGACTGTAGCTGAGTCAACATTCAGACTGTAGCTGAGTCAGTATTCAGACTGTAGCTGAGTCAACATTCAGACTGTAGCTGAGTCAACATTCAGACTGTAGCTGAGTCAGTATTCAGACTGTAGCTGAGTCAACATTCAGACTGTAGCTGAG